CAGGAGAATGGAAACAAAAACCTTAGCAGCGATATCAATCAGACTTATGCCTCGGTAGTTCTCGCATATTGACCTGTCTCCCTTTTTGTGGAACGGTAGCAGAACTGAGGTGCTCCAATCGGAAGGAATGGTTTCGGACTCCCAAATTGGGCAGAACAGCGAGTGCAGTGCATCGATTAGCGCTGGAGTGCAGGCCTTGTATATTTCTGGAGGTAGACCATCTTCGCCCGGAGCTTTTTTGTTTCTGAGTCTGTTAATTGTTTTAGCTATTTCGGTTGGAGTGGGTGGATCGCAGTCAACTACGTAGGGTGTTGGTAAGTGTCGTATCGGTCGATGAGACGGTTGACCAGCGTCGCGATTGAGTAGCTGCTTGAAGTGTTCGGCCCATCGTTCCATCTTACCATTGGTGTCCGAAATAATTTCTCCTGATGCTGTGCGTAACACAGCATGACTGTTAAGGCGTTTGCCAGATGATTGGCGTATGAGGCGATAAAGTTTTCCGAAATCGCCTACATTTGATGCTGCTTCCATGTTAGTCGCCACGTTAGACCAATAGCGATTTCTGTCGTTCCTAGCAGACTGTGTAGCTTTGCGCCTGAGGGAGCGATAAACTGGAGACTTTGCTAGGCGAGCGTCTCTGGCTTGCGAGGATAGAAGCATGGTGTGCTCTGAAATCCAGTCTTTCTGCTTCTTGGATGTGGTACCCAAATGCGACATTGAAGCTTTAGAGACTACTTCTTTGAAATGATTCCATCGTGTCTCGGGTGTATTAGAAGATGTGGATGTTGGTTCATCTGCGGTGCTTAGTTCGGCCTGGATTTGTTTGGACAAGGCTTGTCGCTTTGTCGAACATTGAAGCGGGGCAACATTGATACGCTTCGGAGGTCGCACCTTCTGGCGTGTCGTTAAACGAAGTTTGAATTTCGCCCTAACTAGAGTATGGTCTGATCCCCCTTTATTTCCGGCCTCTGCTCCACGATAGGATCGACAGTCTTCCACCGAGGAGATCCAGCGTGAGCGCACTAGAATGTAGTCGATCTGATGTGCAGTGCGACCGTCGTTCGAATACCAGGTGAGAAGATGTTTTCTTGGGTGTTGAAATCGAGTGTTGGTGATATATAATCGATTGTAATCAGAAAAAGCTAAAAGTCTATCACCATTACGGCAGCGCTGATCGAGACCGTGTTTGCCTAGTATACGTTTTGTCGCGTCGTCTGAAGGGCCAGTGCGGGCGTTCCAATCGCCGGCTACTATGAGAACGTCACGCTTTGGGATTTTGTTGATTGCCTCTTGAAGATTGTCATAAAATTCGTCTTTGATACTTTCATCAGAGTTGAGGGTTGGGGCATAGACAGCGAGAACAGAAATGTCGAGCGGGGAACCCTTGAACCTAGCGACTGCAACTCTGGAGTTGACCGGTTCGAATGATATTAGGGCATTATTGGCTTTGTTACTGAGAGCAAATGCTACCCCGTGTTGTCCCGAATTATTCTGGGGTCCACTATGAAGCAACCAGAATGAAGAATCTGTTCCAGGTACGGCTATTCGGCGGGAGCCATGATCGGGTAACCCCACTTCAGATAGACACGCTATGTCTACCTTGTAGTCATATAAAGAACGCATGGTGATAGACTGGCTACCAGGATCCAACAGCGTCCTAACATTCCAGCAGCCAACAAATACTTGGTTTCTAAGTGTTAATTTCCCAGCTAGCTTACTTTTCACACTGGCCACCGGGTGAGCACAGGGCGCGTCGCTTACCGGGAACGCCGTAGCATGGTGAGAGTTGTTTGTAGGAGAGTTCATGAAGTTTCTTGGGAATTTGGTACGAATGATGTCCCCAGCATCGCTCGGCCTTTTGTTTGAGAGTGCAGCTCTAGCCTTTACACAGCCAAGTGTGACCTACAAGGCAGTAGGAGTGGAGTAAGGAGTCCACTATCCATTGGCAGCCGGTGACCGGAGTTCGGTTCATACGCCTTTTTGAATGGGGCCAGACATCCAGGACATCCAACAAGCCCTTTGTCCATACGACTGCCGGTGAGCTCCGGTGAGCCTCACACGCCAGTCGTTGAAGGTTTGGAATCAGGGTTTAGCCATCTCCCCTAGACTGTCATCCAATGGACAGTCAACCCGGTGGAGAGCGCCGGGCATCCGCTTTTGCCCTCTCACTTTAGTGAGAAACACCTCCACCACGTGAAGGCAGTGAGTAGGACTTCCTCAGGAGAGGCTATGTAAGACGCACGGTCATATGGGAGCATTTCAAGAGGTGTGCGGAGGGGTGGCCAACCCGCAGCGCAAGATACCCACCCCCGACCATCCTGAGGCTTTGGAGGCAAGAAGACTATAGAGCGAATGTCTCGAAGTTGTTTGATTATAACTGGCGATATTATTATGAACAATGCATAAATTGCTGTCGAAACCTTCACTATCTGATGTATCTAATATACGCATTTATATGAAATTCACTTTTAATATAATTGAATTTTAGATTTCCCAGCTGACGAGTCCCAAATAGGACGAAATGCGCATCCTGGATTCCACTGCTAGTCACCATCCACAAATTTAATTTTACTTCTAATAGTTTGAAAAATCTTCGTCACTAGTCAGTTAGTATATGATAATCATTATTATAAAAGTCTTTGTATTTCCCAGTGAATGAGTAAATGAATGAATGAATGGACGAAAAAGAACAAAAGGAGATATTATCGTTTTTACTGACATCTGGCTATTTAATGCTGCTGCTAATAGCGCCTGTATCAAAGTATTATTACACGAGAATTTAAAGATCAGGCTGAAAAAAAGTTTATTTCGACTCTATTGAAGAAATAAATCATCCAGAAGAATTACAAAAATTACAAAGAATTTTTCATATTATCAGAAGCACTTCATATGAAATGGATCTATATTGTCTGGAATAGGAATGATGGAATAAGGCGACAGGATTTGACCTGGCTCCACCACCACCACCACTGACCAAGAAGTAACATAATCAACACGAATGCGTGATGAGCAGTTTCATAATGTAAACAAACACACATGCTGCTTTTATAATTTCCTACACTTATGCAATCAAACAATCTATACATGGTTTTATTATCCTTACAGTAACTTGGCAACATAAAAATTACCTAACACTGAAGAAGGATGATTAAGTTGTTATACCCCACCAGCTGAGGATCTGAATATTCAGGTTGAATAATACTTTGAAAAAGCTATTAGCAGCATGTGAGATGATGCTACAGGACTGGACTACACTGACTCCTAGTTTAAAAATAGGAAGTAAAGTGGTAGAGCACGTTGACCGCTTCACTTATTTGGGAAGTACCATCGGACAACGCTAACGGGTTGATCTCTGACGAAATCTCAGCATGGATAGAGAGGGCTAGTTTCGTATATGCGTGATATCCGGCTGGCTATCGACCAGAAGGCGGGTGTACTGGTCATCGGTCCACTCCGTCCTCCTTTATGGCTGTGGCTGAGACATGGCCATTGGGAGTGGAAGACGTGAAAAGATTAGCTGTCTTTGATCATAGTTGCCTGCGTTCTGTCTCCCGTGTGAAATGGTATAATAAGGTGAGCAATATTGAGGTTAGGCTTCGGTCAAGGTCTAGGTAAGGAGGCGAAATCAATCGACGAGGCTGTGAAGCTACATCGACTGAGATGGTTAGAACATCTGTTGCGTATACCTAGTCATCGCCTTCCTCGATAATGGACAATGTTAGCTGACATGGGGTCAGACTGGAGAAGAGCTAGTGGCAGTCAAACCAAAACATGGCTTCATCAGTCAATGAAATCCACAACAGTTAGTTTAAGCCAGTCACGTAGGAAGGTGTAGACTTCCTGGTTGGGGTCCTCGGAACGGTAAAAACCAATGGCTGGAAACAATTGGTGACATGGCTCAAAATCGTTCTCAATGGCTGGCGGAGATGCATTCACTCCTTGTGACTTATGATTTCCGATGAAACTATATTGTTCTTCGTTCATTATTACTATTCCTTTGTGTCACACCTGTGTTTACTGTCTCTAATATGCATTTCTTGTACCTTCTTCTCTTGCTTTGTGTGCTACAAGGAGGGAGTGTGGGGACTTGAACTGTTGCACATCGGTGCAAAGTTTTATGTCGAAAATAGATAGATAGAGAGACAGACCATTAGCAGTAACATTAAATGTTGAAACGTCAGTAAAAACAACAATATCCTTTTGCTCGTTTCCATTAGTTTATTCATTCATCCATTGGGAAATACAAAGACTTTTATGATGAAATTTATTTGCTTTGACAGTGTTGTAACAGCAGAAGGCAAGACATGGAAGCGAACGTATATTTTCAAATGATTAAACCTCACTCTATATATGTGTCTATACAGTTTATATTCTTTAAGCAATTGGTGTGCGTGTGATTTTGGTTTACATTAAACAACATGGAATAGAACGTATATTATTCTGTTACTAATCCAGTATTGAACTGCGGGAATATGTGAGAATCATATACGGTTGGAACACATTGTCTGTATGCCACCACCACCACCACCACCACAGTATCATTATTTTAGACAGAGATATCCTCGTTAGCTGAAATGTTGGTTTGATAACAGATCAACATGATTGTTTCAAATAAAATAGGTAATGATAAGGTCGTTTGTCTTGCTTATTGATCTCATGTGTAAGGCGCTCCACACACACACACGTAGTCCTCTGATTCCGACCACTTTCTGGTCATGGAGTGTCTTAAAATCTAAGTTAAATATACGCCATTATCAGAATTAATTGTTAATGTCTAGGATTTTGACCAGGTGTGCAATGCAGTTGATATTGTCTTCCGGCGTTACACAATACTGTTGATGGTTGAAAGACTTGAACAGGAAACTATTGTTCCCAAACTGCATCTGCCGTAAACATTGGCGATTGAATGTTGATATTTTGCAGTGCATACTTTTATTATCTTATCGTAATTTCTTATGTGATGTGAATTCATTGTTACAAAATAATTATTTTATTTTTAGGGCACTTTATGCTATATTTGTTGTATTTACACATTCAGTCCTGATGAGAATTCGCCTTCGTTAGACATCAGTACTGATGGGAATGTACAGATTCCAGATGCCTGTCCATCAGTGTCATCTTTACCTGCTATCGCTTCTTCTTCTTCTGAGATCGTCGTGGCACAGCCAATGTATGTTAATGTTAATGTATGGGATCACATCTTCCAATGCATGAATCAACGCCGTGATCTACTCAATAATTGTCATCATCGTCATCATCAACACGGCCGATTTCCACCTGCTGCTACTACCACTTCTACTACTACTACTACAAGTACTACTGCCGCTGTTATTGCTCCCCCTCCTGTTCCTTCACGTAGTAGTAGTAGTCCTGTTAACTATGTACATAAAATATTTGATGATAAATCTTTGAAGAGAAATGTATCAACAATTTCAGAAACTAGTGGAAGTCCATCTCATAAACGATTATCTCCATCACTAAACAAAGGTGATTGCAGCAACGACAACAACAATGTACAAGGTAGTTGTCATCTCAGTATTGAAGGTGTTGGTGGTGTTAGTGTTGGAGGTGATGATAATGACCAATATGGTTCAACTAATAATTCTGCTACTACTAATCCTTGTGTTGACTGGGTGGTACAAGAGCAGCAGGTCAGTGGAGAGATATCACGTGGTTGTGATGATACAAATGTTACTGAAATGTAAGTTTTGGTGTTAACAGTAGTAATTTCATGTGTTGTTTTGCAAGGATTTGATTTGATTTGATTGTTTACAGGATTTCGTCATGAGCTGGCATCAGTTAGAGAAGCATTGGAAAACCAGCTTGGGGAGTACTGCTCCAGACGGTTGTTCGGTCCTAGTCTGTGACACTTCAGCAGTAGGCACCCACCCCACTGAAGTTCGAACCCAGTACCTTCCATTTATAAGGCTAGCTAGCTCGTAGACCATTAAGCCACTGGGACCCGACCCGATCCAACGGCCAGTTCATGAATTCTAACCTCTTCCAATTCACGAAATAGCGCGACCACTAACCGGTATTTTGTTTTCCTTATCCTGTATAAAAGGAAGAAATTATTTCGAAGTTGCATACAATATCATTTGTGGAACCATTTACCACTCTGGTATGCTTTTCTAAATGGGCCCAGTATCCTTCAATAGAACTTGTATGAGTTCTACTTATTCAGAATAATTATTGCTTTAATGGTGAATTTAGCCTAGTGAGGTATGTGATAGTTGCGAATATGGTCTCTCCACTTGTCTGTGTGAATATTAGTGCCTGGGAGGACTATTCGTTGTATAATTGATATTAAGACATCAGTACTTCTGTTTGGGATGCATTCTACCAATCCTTTTCGATGATTTGTATTGTACGATCAGTTCTAGCACCCAACACGTGGTTTTCTCTTCTCCTACCGTGGCGACTCATTTTGCGTGTATTAAAGATTGTTTGGTTAATATGAACGACGACGACAGCTATTGCTCCAAGTACAGAAGTAATCCCATTGATCTTTTGTGTGGCGATATTCCGACTGTGTTGCTGATACCACTGCTCTCTGTTTCCACAGATGCTGGTCATGTCAGTAGACAATTTTGTCATACACTTGATATTTTACTAAGGCTAAGGCAGGGTTTCGATTTGGAGAAGAAAGTATCTAAAAACATCAGCATAATGTACAACTTACCGAATCCTACAGACTTCCTCATATAACATTGAATGTATAACCGCCATCAATAATAGCCAGGGAGTACTTCTGAAGAGTCATTATCCCTCATTTTCCACAAAAAACTCAAAAACCAAATCTTGGTGAAACTTGCAATGAAGATTAACTATGTACCGCATCCATTTGTAATGTTGAGCGATCCGATTGGTCGATTCAAGATTATTTGACTTTGGTGTCGTCTATTCTTTACTGTTCCTCTGCTAAGGTACGGCTAGTAACACTCTGTTATAACAGTATCAGAAGATTTTCTCTTATCGGTAAAATGTAAACTTCACCTTTGAAATAATAAGGAGACTTTTTCAGTTAGAAAACAGCTAATCATCTGTGCATGAAATGATGTAAATCAATATAATAAATTATAATTACTTTAGTTTCAAAGTACTACTACTCGCAGTCTGACTAGTTGATAACATGTGGTTCAGTATCTTCAACATTCAAGCTCCACTCTAGCCTTACACTGTTCTGGAGAAATCCAGGATGTGAATATGAGTCTTGTCCTACTTTCGGCTCGTCAGCTGTGCACACATATGTATGCACCTCAATAAGTGGTGGTGGTGGTGGTATTCACCAAGATTACAGGGCCAAGAGGACCACTTTTATGGCAAAGTCAGTTCGTTTAATTTGACTGAAAGAGAAGGCGATACTTGAGAATATCTGCTATACTGAAATAGACACAAAAGCCAGTCTGAGAAAAGCGACGACTAGTATGAATACTTTATTAGACAAAGTACACGCCATATTGTATTTACAAACCCTCAGCCATGAATAATAAAGTAGACGAATATGATTACTTGTATGACATCGAAATCCCTGACAAAATTAAACCACCATAAGTAAACGAATCAGAGACTGTTGAATAAGGTTAACACGCATAAATCATTA